ACACTGAGTAAAATGTGGGCTAGTAAATAGGAATCAGGAGGGATGACATACGTAAGAAAAAGACAGCCGAATCTAATAATCCCTATACGGTGCTTTTACAGCCAGAGATCTCAAAGAGCTCTAAGTAGTCAGTCAGTAGCATCATCCCCACTTTACAGATACACAGAAAAGTTATGTGAGTTAGTGGCAGAGCTTGGAATCCAGGTCTTCTGTTTCCCCAGTTCAGGACCCACACTACTTCCAGACCCCTGTGAGCAATTCAGGAAGTTAGGAATTATACTACCAAAAAACACAAACAGGAATTAATGAAATATTAAAATAACTATGGCAAGAAACAATTAAAAGATATAGAAATGAGCTTCATTCATAAAAAGAAGCAACTGATGCGTATTCTGACATTTGTTATAGAGTAAAATTGTTCAGGTTAGTGCAACCTTAACGTTCTACACGCTCAATCAGCCCATTCCCTTGAATAATACTGTAGCAAACAGATCTCTCCAGGATGCATGGAGTCTTTAAATATTAATAATCATCTTTCATCAAGCATAAAACTAAGAGTCAGGAAATACAGCTGCAATCGCACAGTTACACTACTCTCAGAATACACCCTGAAGCAAAGAAAACAAATGGGTTGCTTTTCATTAACAGAGCTTGGCAAGCATCTCCAAAGACAATGTTTTCTTTCCAGAAACAATCCCAACAGGCATTTCAGAGGCTCTTTGCTGAGGTAAGCCTAATACATGAATACTCATTCATATATTAATTAAAACTTCCAAACATAAATAGTAATTTCCACTGTACAGTAATATTGCTAATTTTTCAATGACAGTCTATATTTAACTAAAATATTACATTTAAGAAAATAATGTTTGTTTTCAAATAATGTCCTAAAGTAAGGCCCTGATCCTACAAATATTTATGCTTAACTTAACTTATGCAAGTAGTCCCAGTGAAGTGTATGGGACTACTTGTGTGACTAAAGCTAAGCACCATGTGTTTTTCAGGACAGGGCTTCAAAATGAGAAAAGTGACTTGATGGCATAGTAGCAAGCACCAGATTTAAGAATTACAGTGATTCTTCATACTCATATATATTTTAAATTATGGAGGTTCTTGATCATAATTCCACAGTGTGTGTTTGGAAACTGGTTTACAGGGTGTACATTCCTAGTTCTTTCTAAATGTAAGTGGCCTTTCAAACTCAAAATAGCACACACTATTAGTTTTTATTCCCTTTGAATTTTCTAATTAGCACTTGTCCAGTTTAATTTCACAAAATATAACTGTAGCTTAAAAGTGTTAGTATCAATTTGTGTTTTTTTAAAGGATTGTTGTTTTTCTACACAAAAATTGGCACGGAGATTAATCTTGAGTGGATCTGATGCAATGTGTAGATTTAAAAACACAACAACAGGATTTATGGTCATTTTTAGCTGTTTATCATTATTCTAAAATGTATGCATCAAATGAATAGCTGACAGAAGCAGTCTTCATTGGATAAAATTTCTGCCTTACATACACAGTCTCTCCATCAGCAGCTACACTTATCTGTCAGATTTAATTTTACAATGGAAAAAGTTTCATGTGTTATTGCTGACAGAGAAGTTTTTATATGCAGCTGCTGATGGATACATCTCGGAGAAGTTGCATTTCTTTAGCAGATAAAATTTTATCCATTAGCAGCTTCTGCTACACACAGTCCTCTTCTGGAGTGATGGTGGTGGTGGCCCTCAAGAGCAGTGGGTCTTGAGGTTAACACCCCATCAAGATGCACAGGGCAGTTCATTCATCTCAGAGCTACTGATTCAGGCTTTCTGCAGACTCAGGCAGATATTGGTACACTGGTTACACTCAGTTCATATTTTCAAGCCTATCTTCACAGCCATGAAGGCTAAAAACTTTAAAAAAAACAAACTTGGATTCTGATGTAATCACATGACCCCAGGAGCTGAGGACTTAGCCATATACATAGCCATTAAGGCCTATAGTACCTGTGGTTTAATCTGGCCATATAGTAGCCTTAACTGTGTCACAACCCACACGCGAGTGCACACAACATTTTGTTGTGAAACAGTTATATACACAGTATGTATATTTGTAACATAATATAAACTTTAAATTTATTAAAATTACACGTGCACATTAAAGATATATAGGCACAGAGGAAAAAACTGAAATATTAGAAATATTCTTTGTATGAAAGATAAGTCTTCTATAGCCATAACATGAAGCCATCTATTGAAATTATGGGGATATGAATCTAGCATCCATTCACTCAGCTTTCTAAAAAAAGCTAGATTGTTACTATTCAGTAATATTCATGTACTTGAAATGAATAAATGAAATATGACGACCTACAGATTTAAATTAAAATCTATTCATTATCCACAACTGTAAAATTAGTTTAGTAACACAGATTGTTTAAAGTAGGAAACCATAACATATTAATTTTTTTTTTAAGTAAAAACTTTGGTGTACCATGGAAAGTGGTCATTGTAATAGCTACCAAAAGAAAGAAATTCCTGATATTAAAAGACAACTAGCCTAATCTTCTATTCCAAATATTTAGTTATTTTCTTAAACATTTCCACTAACCCTTCATGTAGTTCCATGCTGAAAATCCCAGAACAGTGATCAGCATGACGTTCTCAGCATGGTAAAATATCATAGCAAAAAACAAGGAGCCATATTTTCTCAACATGGGAGGCCAGCTCTACAAATTATAAGGATTCTCATTATGAGGCAAGAGCTATATATGCTACATTGTGGAATATTCACATTCATTTTTATGGCTGTAGTTTGTTTTAACAGACTTCATCATACACACACACACACACACACACACAGATCACACTTCTTTGAGTCACTGAGTCCAAAGCCAATTTTAATTATAATCAAATATATCACAGAAGAGGAGTAAAATCAGAATAGCATTGCCTATCTAACATCCTCCACCACAGGGATCTTTTATGCATGGAAATAAGCAGGTTGGCTGCCCAAGTCCTCTCTCAGCATGACATCTAAAATGTGTCCCATATATTGAGATCTGAACAATATTTGGCTAGTTACTTATAATACATGCAGAGGAAGCTCACTTTCTTAGACTATGTTAGAAGAGCAAATATAACTTAGAGAATGTTTTTACTTCAAGGTCCCAGAAGCAAAGACAAGGTTTTCATCTCAAGACACACTATAATACCAACAGAAAAAAAGTCAGAGTATTCAACAACAAATATATTTGTTTGCTTCAAAGCATGAGAAAAGGAAGTTAGTAAACTACCTTCGGTGTAGCGTGATCAGGCCTAGGCTGCCCTAGTACTCTAGCAATCATGCTACCAAATAGGGGATCCAAATCAGAAACTTTGCCCCCAAATCTGGGATGTGCCTGAGCTGCACTTGAGGCAGCTGAGTGAGGGGAAACAACGGCGGCTTTATGCCCTGCCCGATCCTGGGACTAACTGGGGATCAACTTGATCCCGTGTGCAACTTGCAGCAGCCTCAAGGCTATTACATATGCCTCGCTGCCTATTGCTTTATCACATAGGGCTGTGCTGGTCATGATCCCAGTCTTCTGCACCGGGGGCTGAACGAGGTGCGGTGGAGCCACTATGGTAGCTTTATGGTATCTGAGGACTCATGGATTCCTCCTCCGGCTAGTTAAGCTAGCATTATGGCAGCTTTATGATGCTTTAATCGGGCTCAGAAATGGGCCCTTGATTTATTTTTGCTGTTCCTTGGTCAGTGGAGGTTAGCAAATCAGATTTTTTTGAGCTGTTGCACCAGCAGACCTAGGGTTGCCAATTTTGGTTGGATGTATTCCTGGAGGTTTCATCACATGACAATTTTAATTAAAGATTAATCTTTAATTCCTGGAGACTCCAGGACAATCCTGGAGGATTGGCAACCATAAATCCCTATAGGCTCTTTGGGGTTGTGAGGTAACTCTCCATAAAGCTCTAACCTCAAGTCTCTCCCCGCTCTGGGGCCTATAGTGCAGCTGCAAGGCTGACTAGTGAAATGTGGACCAACTGGTTATTCTGCGTTTGAGACACATACAATTGAGGATCTGACCTGGAATTGTTTTAAAGCTAGGCTGTCTCAATCAATATTATATTGTCACAAGTTGTTCATTCTGGCCTTTCCTGCTTGTTGCAGCTCTCCTATCACTTCCCCAAATGCCTCCTGGACGGAAATACTTCCATCTTCTCCCCATCCCTATTTATTTGGTGCAAATGGGATCAGGCGGTTACATGCCTTCTTTGCTGTGTAATGACTACTGGGCAAGAGACTACTCTAATTTTAACTGAACAGTTGACAGATTTTTCAAAAAAAATTCTGTTTCTTTAGTGAATCCCCAAATTGCAGTGATCAGTGATTTTTATAGTGAGGCAGAAGAGCTCATAAACATAAGCATTGAGAATGGAGTCCAGCCCTATGTTCCAAGTGTGGCAGATTCAGAGGTTCTACTGCACTCCTGAAATTCCACCACAGAATTTGTAACAAAGCAAAGGAGAAGAAAAAAAAAGAGCTTGAGCATCCAAAATCACCTTGTGGGTACATAGATGCAGACGTTCTTTTTAATATGAGGGGATATTTTTAAAGAGCTGTTTATAAAAACAAGTGCAAAAAGCAAAATGGTGGCCATTCAATATGTGGGATTGTGGAGGACAATGTAAAACCTAGAGTTTGTCCTGCTTGCCTGCTATTCTTTTTGGCCCTGATTCAGCACTTGGGGCACATCACTATTTGAGATAATACTTGAGCATGTGCTTAAATGCCATCGCTTTGTTGATATGGGGCCATATGCTGGCCACTACGCATTTATCAAAAGGAAATGCCAGGATACTTGATAAACTGCACACCATGACCACGCGTTGGCAATCCATGACAAACCCCCTAGATATAAACATGCAACTAAAAAATGTGTACTGCTTTTCTCATTTATTACCAAATCACTTGATCAATGGATACATAAAAGAATACACCTGTATGTTCCTTACCTTTAACATAGTGAATTCGTATGGCTGATAACCTTTGAAACTTTCATGGATAGCTGCCATGGTGTGTGAGGTTTTTTCCCAAAAATGAAGCAGCGTTGTCTATAAAGAAAGTAATATTTCAATACAATATTAGTATAATAATCAGTATTAATGCTAACTTTCATTCCCCCAAGCGATTTTGATATTCTTATACTTATCAGCATATTGTCATATTACCGTAATATGAAAAACAGATTTTACAGCTTACAGGGAATATTTCCTTTGAGGTTAAAGTGTTCTTTGAATACCTGATATGTTGTTAAAACATGAGACAGGAGGTTACATCTACTCGCTCCAAGAAGATCCACTTTCTGACACACATCAGTCTTCAATTTGTCAAAATTTAGTTTTGCATGACGTACTTGTGCTTGAACCTTCAAATACAAAGAGTCATTTATCACAAACAGGAGATGAGGGAGTTTGGAGCAGCTGGTTTTTAATTATTTAAACTTTTTCTGCTTCCATCTACCTAGCCTAGCAGCTTATAAAAAAAAAAACACCCTGAAAAACAGTGCAGCAAACGTATATAATCTTTTCAGAAAATTAGGTAAACATAACAGGACTAGTTAAAAACCTATATAAGGCCCCTATTGTGCTGTCGAATGTTGCATAAAACTCCCAGATTGATTCATGATAGCATATGGTCTTATTTTTCTCTTGTCCTTTTTAGTTACTATAAGTAATTATATTCATTCACTGAAGATGTTATGTTTTAATATTGACACACACACTACATAAAATGCATGTTAAATATTTATTATTTATAATGTGTTCAATATACAGTGTCCTTATTTTTATAACAGTTTGTAGGAACACATTCAAAAGCTTTAAGGATAATCAACTTATTTGGAACTGAATGCACCTTATTATGCATTATAACAAGAGTATTTATTGCGTGTCTAGCAGTTAAATATATATAGTTATATATGTATGTATCTCTTTTAGACACAGTCAAAAATGTGCTGTAATATGCATAAAGCTCTTTGTAATCAATGTGAATGAAACTATACAGTCATCATCTGGCTATTGTTGCTCATATCTGACTATGGTAGATGTTACAATTTAACAGTTTAATTCTATTACAAAAGTTCTCTATTCAAAGCTTTCTTTATAATAGGTAGGTAGGTTTTTTTTATACTTTTAATAAAAACACCAGAACCTTCTTATCCTAGGTAAATAAGCATATAGAATTTCACGGGACTGTGTTTTCTGCTCACATTAACCTTTGCATACCCACTCTCCAGAATTAGCCCACAATTTTGCCTGTTAAACAAGTAATTTTTGTTTTGAAGGCCAGTAAAGTATTGGTTCTCTTAGCAGTAGCAGCAGCTAACAGAGTAAAAGGCTGATCTGGATGTTTTGTGAATAGAGTTGAGGCGTAACCAGAATTTTCCCTAAGGGAGGAAGCCCAGAGTTTTCCCTCCTCTGCCCTGCACCCAGCCCCAAGCTCTCCGTCCCACAAACTCTTCCTCTCCTCCCCCACTGCCTCTACACTCAGACTCATAATCTCCACCCTGCAGCCAGCTCTACAGTCCCTTCCTGCTGCCCCACACCAGACCTGCACCCAGCACCAAGCTATTCCCACCCCACACCCTGCTCTTTCCCCTACATTGCCCTGCACACAACTCCAAACTCTCCCCACCTCATACCCAGCCCTGAGCTCTCACCCACAGAGGTGATCAGGCTGAAGAGAACCGTACCCAGCAGGGGCCAGGTAGTTCTAGGAGCCCTAGACCCCACCCTCCTGCAACTCTGCTCCCCCAGGATGTGCTAAAGCCTGGATCAAACCTTGTACCTTCTTGGAGGCTGGGGGTTCCTGGAACCAAGAGTCTGGGGGTGGCCAGTGCCCATGGCTGTAGGAAGAACTGCAAAGGTGCGAGGGGGAGAGGGAAAAGGAGAAGCAGGCACACGGGGCCACACCACCACTCAAATTTGGCCTGGCCAATTATCTGTCCTGACAGGGGGGCAGTCGGGCCAAATTTGAGTGAGTGGAGTTATGACTTGGTGCACAGGTGCACTCAAATTTCAGCTCATGGCACCCCTGACCAGAGAGTTTCATTTTCATGACAGTTCTGCAAGTCTGCCTTAGTATTACATCGATGGAAATCTTTGTATGTAATTCCTCAGATTTCTTTTAAGGAAATGGAGAAATATTGCACACACGTACCTCTCTGTTGATTTCCCTGTATACCACCATAGTTACAAATCAAAAAGTTTACCTAACAAAAACTCCACAGTGAAATGGCAGGCAAAAATAAATGAAATAAATTAATTAAAAAAAAATCACACCCACATAATGAATATTGATATTATGTATTAACTTATTCCATATTACAACAAATAGTACTGCAGCCCTGTATTTGGAGGAAACTTCATACCACTTGTTCCAATGTATATTATTTTATTCCGAATTAGTCTAGAAATTCAAGAACAGTGAAGATAAGCTACTTCAAAAGGCCAGTTTTAAGGCTCAGCTACTGAAGCCTGTGTGTGCGCAAAAATTTCTTTAAAAAAAAAAATCTTAACTATAACACAAATAAATTTCCCCGTCATCACATAACTTAATATAAATGAGTACATTTTGTTCAAAATTCACTCTCCCATTTCCCCTCCCCCACCACAGACACACAGAGAGAGCAACTGAGACAAGCACTTAAAAATGCAACCTTAAAAGAAGAATTTTGGAAGAAGTTATAAGTACACGAAAGAAGAAAGCCTAAACATAGATTATCTATAGCTTTTGCTACCAAGCAATGCTATATGAAGGTACTTGAATGGGAAAGGTGCTGGGGTTCTGGGAAATATACTGGAGACTTAGGACCAAATTCTGGTTTCAGTTACACTCTTGTATATCCAGAACAGCTCCATTGATGTCAATGGGGTTACACGAGTTACTCTGGATTTACACTGGTGCAACTGAGATCAGAATCTGGTCTCTAGTCCATATGCTGTGATCCTGTGTTTTGCAAGAAAACAATGAATGCCACTATGACCTTGCATAGTGATATCCCAAGTGTGCAAAGAATGTTCATTTCTGAATATTCTGAATACACACAAGGCAGACCACAGGAATAATTCCTGCTGACAGCATGCATAATTATTAATTTCCAGAATTGTAAATCTGCACAAGGGTTTTATATAACAGACTGGAATTAGGATGTATGTGAGGTTTCCAATTTATTAAAAATAATACTTTCTCAACTGAAGGAAAGGTTAGAAAATTACCACAGAAAGTGTGCTTTTTTCCTTTTAGTGGTATATGATTAAACCATTGTATGTTCTCTGTAACCTAGGGGCCTGTCTCAGGATACATCCTCTAAAGATTCTATGTAACATAGTACATGTCAAACTATATATCTATATCCTAACTGAATCTATTATTATAAATCTTTTAGCTTCCAAAAGAGAAAACAAAGATGACTAATACTTCATCCACTTGACCCAATGTGTAATTCAAGACCATATGTTTTGTGTGTCAATACTGATTATTAAAATACTTAATGTACTGCTGTGTTACCAAATGCCATACACTTTTCCTGCCAAACAAGGAAGACAAGACACCACTGAGAATTATTAAATAGTTGGTTTCATCTAGTATTTTGAGTTACCGGAGGTTTGGTCAGTAATGGGACTTCTTTTTCTGCAACAGCAGTACAGGATATTCAGGAGAGAATGCAGCCTAGTACACCAGCTTGAGTCTTTGCTTATTTTTGTTTGTCTATACATGCATTTACAATCCAAATTACATTAAACATCTTTTAAGAATATTTGTGGCTTTAGGAATTAATAATAAAACTAACACTTAATCATAATCTACTTCAGCAGTTCTCAAACTGTGGGTTCCCATTTCAATGGGGTCGCCAGAGCTGGCGTTAGACTTGCTGGGGCCCGAGGCCAAAGCCTGAGTCCCACCGTCTGGGGCTGAAGCTGAAACCTGAGCCCCATTGCATGGGACTGAAGCTCAAGGGCTTCAGCCCTGGACGGTGGGGCTCGGGCTTCAACTTCAGCCCTGGGCGGCAGAGCTCAGGCTACAGGTTCCCCACCCAGGGTGACAGGTCTTGGACTTCGGTTTTGGGCCCCCCTCCCGCCCGGGGCATTGGGGCTTGGATGGGTTCAGGCTTTGGCCACTCCTCCCAGGGTCATGTAGTAATTTTTGTTGTCAGAAGGGGGTCTCAGTGCAATGAAGTTTGAGAACCCCTGATCTACTTAATACCTCATAATTCATTAGGCACTGACAGAACCGTGCGTTCTCTTCTCAAATAAAGGGCTCATGTAATACACCCTAATCATCTCCCTCCCCTGCAATTACTCTATACACCATGACTTTGATGACCGCATTTCATCATGGCCCTTATCCTGCAAACTCTTACACATATGTTCAGGGCCACCCAGAGGATTCATGGGCCCTGGGGCAAAGCAATTTCCGGGGCCCCTTCCATAAAAAAAAAGTTGCAATACTATAGAATACTATATTCTCGTGGGGGCCTCTACAGGGCCCGGGGCCTGGGGTAAATTGCCCTATTTGCTCCCCACCCCAGGCAGCCCTGCATATGTTTAACTTTGCTCATGTCTTGAAAGTTCAGCACATGAATGTATTGAAGATTGTGACCCTGATGAGATTTTTAAGAATTCTGATAGGGGTCAAAGGATTCTATTGACTACATAAGTAAATTACACTAATCCAAATACGCCTTGAACATTTCCCAGTGAAAGAGGCAGGTACCCAGCATGTAGTGCTCAGCAGTTGCTTAGTTTCATAGCATAGATTAGAACTGGTTGCTATACAAGCAAATCCGGCAATGTCACCAACACCATCTGTAAAACTTCTGACTGCCTTGTCTTTTAGTTACTAAAGTGCCAAGCACTGAACAAAAAAATCATTTTCTATTCCCGACATTCAGATATATTACTACAGTGAATGTACGTATTACTTCTAACAGTCTTGCACTGAAACCTATAAAATACAGATTTGGAATACACTACTTTATACTTATATTACCATCGGTCTTAAATATTAGATTTTTTTATTTGAATTTGAACTATAACATTTTCCTACTCAATCAATCCAAGTTCTCACAGGAGGTTGTAGCATTTTAATTTGTATTAAAGCAGCAATAAAACTAAAACTACCAGATAAAGCAAAGGTGTCAGAGACACAATAAATTATAGAAAACTGAGAAACAATGTCACACAATCCATAACGGAATGAGCAGAATATAAAGAAGTGCTATTTAATTTGAATCATCATAGCAGCAACAGCATTTCAGTTTGATTTACTTGAGAACCAGATGAGACCTTGGAAATTGGAACAATCACATTTTCCTGTCAGACAACCGGTCTGAAATCTTAACTGCTCGTGAACAAATGATTGGGA